CCCTCACTTTCTGCTCTGTGACTATGACTATAGTGACCGTATTCCAGGCCAAGGTAAACACTAAGAAGAATGAAATACTGAAAGAAAATTTAACCTTTCCCCCCTTTACCCCCCCCCCCCAAAAAAAAACCCAAACAAACATAAAAGCGCATATAATGCATACTTTTAAAACCGAACTCCAGTCCAAAATAACAACGCACATTTGAATGGCTAGTTAAAAGATAAAATAACAAAACTGGCTTTTGCTGCAATATTTACCTTTAATGCAGAGATTTCCATCAGGAGTACATTATTTCTGGCACCAACAGGGTTATTCACAAAAGGGTAAAGAATTTGGAGAAGGCAGGAGAAGTGAACAATCTAGGACAAAATAGCTGAACTGGAATGTGAGCTGAATTACAGACTTTTTCCAAATCCGCTATTTTGTTCTAGATTGTTCACTTCTCCAGAGTTCTCCAAACTCTTCATTCTTTTGCCAATAACCCTGTAAATGTCCTCAGTCTGATGGTCAGCATCATTCAACTCACTTCCCCTGAGGCTAGGTCATTCAGGACCAGCCCCAACCTGTGACTGGACAGTGAAAGGAGAAGCAGCACAGTGAGGAGCTAATCTCTCTGTTACTCTGTTTGCTCTTCCAATCGACAAGCTTCTTTTCCACAAAAAAAACTCTTTTACTGCTTCTTCCTCTCACACTCTGCTATACAGGGACTGCAAAAGGCTGATACCAGGTCAAATCCAGGTATTCACACAGTTTGCATTTCAAAATACATTTAATGATATATTAATGATTGCATAGTTGTTTAAATGTGCGTCTTGTGTATCTGCCCAGATTTCAGCTTTAAATTCAGGAAGGGACAGACCGCAAATAAATCAAGGTGCATGGCCACGACAACCCCAGCAAACTAGTTAGCAAAGCTTGGTCTTAAAGGAGAACTATGGGGTTAAGGCTTTTTCCCATAGTTCTCCTTAGGGTAACGGGAGGACACAAACTAGCGTCCTCCCGTCACCCTTAGCTCAGTATACCGCGAGCTACAGGTCGCGGTATACTGAGACGCCGCAGCCGGAGAGTTTTCCGACATCGATGTCGAGATCCGCCCAGCTGCGTGAGTGACAGCTGGCTCTGCCTATCTAGAGGCAGAGCCAGCTGTACCCGCCCCCTCCCCCGTCCGTTCCGCCAGTCAGCGCTGGCGGAGCGGGGAGGGGGGAATCCATCCGCTCCCCTGTCACGGCAGAGAGCCGTGACAGGATCGAGGAGTGAGCAAACACCGGTATGTGTTCGCTCACCTCCCGATCTACTGAGCCGACCTGTGACAGTCTCATTGTCACAGGTCGGCTAGAACTATGAGGTGAGTGGAAAGCACTCACTTCATAGTTCTCCTTTAAGAAACAGAACTTTTTTTGTTTAGACTGAAGTTTTTGTTTAACAAAATGGAAACAGCCCTCATCTTTGCTTCATTACTTGCCATTATCTATCATTACTAAAGAGTGACTTCTATGTCCACCTATAGTACAAGATATTGAAGTTTTAGCATTATCAAAGAATGCTACAAAAAGGTCCTTGTATGAATTTTCAAAGTGTGAGTCACAAAAACATTCATTGCAGAAGCGCTCATACACAGGAGCTCTTGAATTCTTGGGTGAGTCAGCCCCTGGTACTTTGAATAAGACCAACTACAGACAAAACTTTTTTTTTTTGTATTTAATAGAGCGGGTAGGAGTCTGAACATCTATCAAACTTCTATTGCTGTGCATGTCCTTATTAAGGAGATATTCCCTTACTACCTGTTCCGATGACACCGAGACAAGAAATAAGTGGGTGTGGGTGTCACCAAGACAGGAAAACACAGAGAGCTATCAAAAGCGGATGTTCTAACCCCTGCACACTTGACTTAATAATTGAGCTTTTTGTGCTCTCTCTGTTGCCATCATACTTACTCTGTCCTCAGAGCAAATTGCCCGTATAGTGAAAAAAGACAACAGTAAAATGCCAACAAAAGCTCTAAACTCCCTTCACATAAAAACTATAAAAAGAATGTATTGGCTGGAGTTGGGCTTCAATGGCAGGATCTTCTTGCCACAATAAAAGACAGTGTCCCTCTCCACCTGCCGCATCATCCAGAAACTTCTGTTCCACTCTGCATAACAAAAATAGATCCATCAGGTAGCAGTAATGCCCCTGTAAGGCCACATCAGGTGTGCAGACCCAGGACACCAAAGGTCTTCTGTATATCATATATATAGATATAAGAAATAAGGCAATTTAACTCTCCAACATAGCCCTCCATTTTAATATAGGAATACTGTCCTAAATCTTCGCTCATTGTACTACAAAGCTCAAACAGGGCTAAGGTACCCATAAGCAAGACAAAGTACATTTATTTTGATATACTCCCTCTCATCTCACCTCTCTCACACTTCTGCTTCTCCTGACTTCAGGGGATATCTCAATCCTGGCCCTCTCCTTTCTAATACTCACCCTTCAAACCAGCACTGCCTTTCCCCTAGCAGCAGCTGCAAACCCTGATTTCTATTCCCCTGCTTCCCAGAACTGGTCCTTCCTTCTCTTGTGCCCTCTGGAATGCCCGTTCTGTCTGTAACAAACTCACTGCTGTCCACGATCTTCTTATATCAAATTCCTTTAACATGCTAGCTGTTACTGAAACCTGGCTTCAGGAATCCGACTCTGCCTCTCCTGCTGCCCTCTCCCATGGTGGCCTAGATTGGACGCACTCACCCAGACCCAATGGACGAAAAGGAGGTGGAGTGGGAATCTTCCTATCCCCACAATGCACTTTTCAAGTTCTGCCTTTACCTCCCTCTCTATCCCTCTCCTCTTTTGAAACCCACTGTATTCGCCTATTCTCTCCAATCTCACTGAGGATTGCAGTTATATACCGCCCCCCTGGATCGGTATCTCGCTTTCTGGATGGATTCTCTGCCTGGCTACCCTACTTTCTCTCCTCAGAAATACCCACTATCATTCTTGGTGTCTTTAACATTGCTACTAACATTAAACACCCCAGCCTCTGCTCAATTTCTTAACCTAACCTTTTCTTTTGATCTAACACAATGGTAAGACACTCCTACTCACTCTGATGGTAACATACTAGATCTTGTTTTCTCCCCAACCCTGAATCCCCCTACATGGCACACTGTCACCCGGAGAAACCTTCGCCACCTCGACCCTTCCCTTCTCTACTCTGCTACTGACTACCTCTATGACACAATCTCACCCTTGTCCTGACCTGACCTGGCTATTTCTGTCTACAACAGCTCACTATCATCCTCTCTAGACACTTTGGCTCCCCTCACTACACGCAGACTTAGACCACGACCACAACCGTGGCAAACAAATGAAACCAGACATCTAAAAAGACATGGCCACACACTTGAACGACTTTGGTGAAAAACTAGGATTCTGCAAGACTTCACCCTGTACAAAGCTGCCCTCCTAAAATATAATAATATAACAGACTTATTTTGTCACTTTCATTAACTCACTCTCATCCAAACCTCGTCAACCCCTTTCTACCTTTAACTCTCTATTATGTCCTCCACCACCCACTAACTCAATCACTGCCCAGGACATTGCCATTCATTTCAAAAACAAAATAGATACAATTCGGGATCAGATCGCCACTGTGCAGTCACCTTCCCCTATTCATGTACCAGACCCTCCATCACACTTGTTACTTTCCTCTTTCGACCCTGTCACCACAGAGGAGGTGACCAAGCTTCTCCCTGACACCCACCTCACCCACCTCATCCCCCTGGACCCTGTTCCCTCAGCACTACTTCGGTCACCCTCTTGCTCTATCCTACACTCTCTTACTCACATTTTCAATCTCTCACTCTCTACTGGCATCTTTCCCTCCCATCTGAAGCATGCCCTGGTCACCCCAATATCCAAAAAACCCTTAATGGACCCTACCGACCTAAGCAATCTCAGACCAATCTCCTTACTCCCATTCACCTCCAAACTCCTAGAACACCTTATCTACAGCCGCCTGAGTCGCCACCTTGCTGATAAAACATTCTCGACCCCTTACAATCTGGCTTTAGCCCCCTACACTCCACTGAAACCACCCTCCTAAAACTCACTAATGACTTACAGTACATACAGCTAAAAACAATGGCCACTATTCCCTACTCTTGCTATTAGACCTTTCTGCTGCTTTGGCACTGCTGACCACCTGCTCCTCTTTAAAAAAAACTCCAGTCACTTGGGCTGCTCTCTCGTCGTTCTCCTCCTACCTAAGCGTTCCTTTAGCGTCACCGAGAACTCTAACTCCTCCCCTCCTCTTCCTGTAGGGGTTCCCCAAGGCTCTGTCTTTGGACCCCTTCTCTTCTCTATCTACACCTCCTCCCTTGGTCAATTAATAACCTCACATGGCTTCCAATGCCATCTCTATGCCGATTACACTCAAATATATCTTTCTACTCCACAACCCACTCCCTCAGTGTCCTTGCGTGTCACTAATCTACTAACTGACATATCACTCTGGATGTCACAACACGTCTTAAATCTAAACCTTTCAAAAACCGAGCTCTTGATATTTCCTCCCGCCCGTGCACCTTCCCCCAACTTTTCCCTTGAGATTGTTAACACAACTATCCAACTCTCCCCCCATGCCAAGGTCCTAGGTGTCATCCTTGACTCGGACCTCACCTTTCTTCCACACATCCAATCAGTATCCAGATCCTGCCGCCTTCACCTTCGTAACATCTCCAAAATACTCCCCTTCCTCACCAAAGAAACCGCAAAATTACTCATCCACTCACTTGTTATATCTCGTCTTGACTATTGTAACCCCCTCTTTCCCAAGACCTCCTGCTTTCTAGCTCCCTTTGTCAACTCCTCCCATGCTCGCTTCCAGGACTTCTGTAGAGTCTCTCCCATCCTCTGGAACTCTTTACCCCAACCTGTCAGTCTGTCTTTCACCTTGACTGCCTTTAGGCGTTCCCTAAAGACTCATCTCTTCAGGGAAGCCTATCCCACCTCAACCTAACTGCTCAACCATCATGTTCTCAAACAATTCATCCCCACACAGCTACCTCCTCATGTATCACTTCCCCCTCCCTTTTAGATTGTAAGCTCTCACCGGCAGGGCCCTCCTTGTATTTTGAATTGTATGAATTGTATTGCGATTGTAATGTCTTCCTTATATTGTAAAGCGCTGCGCAATCTGTTGGCGCTATATAAATCCTGAATAATAATAATAATTTATTGAGAAAATATTCCAACTCTGGAAATTGCAGTGCATATATCCAGTGCATATATAACACCTTTAGCTCATAGCAGGTGATATGTAGATATAATATATGACCAAAAGTTTTTTTACACCTGACCATTACACCTGTATAAGTTTGTTGAACATCCTATTCCAAAACCACAAGCATTAATAGGGAGTCCCCTACCCCGCTTCTTGTGGCTAGGATAGGCTCTACTGCCCGGGAAAAGCCTTTCATAAGAATTTGGAGTTTGCCTATAGGAATACAGCCAAATGGGCATTTGTGAGGTCAGGTACTGATGCTGGACAATAAGACCGGCGTTCCAATTTACCCCAAAGCTATTCAATAGTGTTGAGCTCAAGGCTCTGTGCGGGCCACCCCAGTTCCTTCACATCAAACTACTATATGTCTTCATGGACCTGGATTTGTGTTCAGGGGTATGGTCATGCTCTCGCCAATAGTTCTGTGCTGTGAAAACCTAACTTGTTGCAGTTAGTGTGAAACAGGGAATGAATATTTTTTTTCCCCCTGAATAATTAAGGATATGCATAACTAAACTAAAGAGACATTTTAAAGAATCCCATATTGAGAAAAATATGGAGGCAGTCATGTATCACCTCATACAAATTGCCTTGTTGTCTCTGGCTTGAATACGGACTTGGAAAAAGTGTGAAAATGTGAGAAAATGTGAAAGTCGGAACTCCTTATCTTCATATTTGCTCCAAGTCAATGGTTCAGAATTGCCTAAAGCCATGTGAACAGCATGACTGCCAGATAATTACAATTTTCAGAGGGAAAGGTTAGCAATGGCATCCTCCATCTCCTCTCACTACAGGTTTCCTTAATCGAATGTATTTTGAAATCCCTAACAAACAAAAATGCAAGCTCATATTTTGGTGTTCACCGACCACCACAATACAGGTGACCACAGGATTTTACAGAGTGATTTGGCCTCGTATATGTAAGAAGGAATGATGAAAAACACGCATAGGCAGATAGGTAGAGATATTTTCACGCTTAAAGAGGAACTAAAACTAAATTCGCTCTATCTAATAATTGTCCCTGTATGATAAAAAAAATACTTACTAGTTCATGGAATCCAGCATTGTCTTCCTTGCAACCAATCTTCTCCTTGCTACACTTTGCTCCCACTCTGCCTTCTTGAAACTCCTCCTTGAGACTCCTTGGAATTCACGCAAGTGTGCAGACATGTCACATATCTCTGTTGGGTATTTGGGATCTGTGGTATGTCGGCACATTCGCAGGATCTCGCGGCATACATGTGACTAAAACACTACCTCCTGGGATGTGTGATGGCTGGCTAAAAGCTAAAGAAGAGTAAAACCTTAAAATATTTTTTACTGCATTAAGTGTTCCGTTGAGGAGATTTTACTTCACTTCTATCTTAGAGATACATCAGGAAATGAGAGTAAATCTCTACAACGTAAGGGACTTCTCTTTTAGGCCTCATTCACACGAGAAACGGCCGGCACGTACAGCTCCGTGCAGCGTGCATGGCCGTATCAGGCAGCTCCGGGGAAGGACTGATGCTGCATGTGATTAGTACGCAGCCCCTGTCCTTCTCTATGGGACTACGTGGCCGTACACCGCCCTACGCTCACCCACCCTGCACGTCTGTGCAGGTGTCAGTACTCGTACGCTGACAGGATGGATCCTGTCTGCGTCCGAGCCGGGACACCCGCACCTGTACGGACCTGCACTTGGGGTAAGCGTAGGGTGACATACGGCCGCGTAGTGCCTTAGAGAAGGACAGGGGCTGTGTACTAATCACTGCATACTTCCCGATACAGCCGTGCACGCAGCACGGAGCTGTACGTGCCGGCCGTTTTTCGTGTCAATGAGCCCTTAGACATCTATCACTGGAACAAATGTCCCTATTGAAAGATTTCCCCTCTGTTCCTGAATGTCAGTAACCCAAAATTCTGGATCTTTGCTCACTTTCTTTGGCAGTGAGAAATGGTCACCATGACAAACAGAGAGGATGCATCTACCCAGCAGGGACACAGACAGTTAGTGAAAATCTGATGGGGGTTTAAGCACTTCCCTGCTCTATGCAAAACATAAAAAAATGCTTTAAGCTATAATTTAATTTCCTATTATTTCCCCTGCGGTAAGCAGTCACTGGCTTTGGCTGCTCTTCGCTTTCCTCATATTAGCATGTCCGCATGGGCAAGCCCCGGCACTCATTTATGTGACAGCTGACTGTGCACTCTGGTGTGTCCATGGCCCACTTTAGACTCCTATCAGAGTTTAAAAAAATGAGCAGCCCATACGAACCAGCCGCATTGATGTTTATCATACAAGTAGTCAGAATGTTTCTGTCTGCTTGCTGTGGCTTACTTCATGTTGCACTTTGCCATATTAAAATCAGCATCTCAGAAGGTGGCAACTTCTTTCAAATACCGTCATATTGTACTTTAATTGTATTCTCAATTACATATAAATTTTCCATGTCCTTAGATGTCTTTTTTTTTTTTTTCCCTTAGATGTCTTTTAGTGCTGCTTTCAACATTACAGACAGGTGCCACTGAATCATGCAGTGAATTACAAAGAAAAATGTACCATTTCAAATAATAAGCGGACCAGCTTTTCAGACTCCCCTCTGTACTTGGAAGTTAAAGTTGAAGAAGAAACATTGAAAAATGTCGTTCCACATTCTGTGGCTACAGCTTTAGCCAGCATTGTTTTGCCGGTTCCAGGCGGCCCAACCATTAGAACGCCCTGAAAGGGAAGAGAGGTTAATACAACAGGTCTTTTTTTCATGCAAATTATAGGCAAAAGTTAGGATAAAAAAGACCTGCACTATTTCATAAATATATTGCAATATGGACAAAAAAAATCTACACATTTTAAAGATTATAGGTGACATCTATAAAAGGAGAGTGGATACTCTGTAATCACTGAAACTGCAGTTTACTTCATTTCCTGCATTTTAGAAGGCATTCATAAAAAAGGCCATGGTGGGGAGCCTGGGCATCCACTTACCACTGCAGAGAACACTGTGATTGGGAAAAAAGGTTGATCACATGACTGACAAGCCACGTGACTGGGCTTTCCTTCTCTAATTACATAATTCTGGTAAAATAATTGCCTTTGGGGAAAAATACAATTTTTTCAATGGTCACTTCGATCCATTATGTATACAGTATATGCTTTATTAAAGGTTGTCCCCTAATAAAGCATTTATATGCTTTATCAGGGTTGGGGGGGTTGCTGGCAGCACACATAGAGCCACAAGGTTTGGGGCAGCTCTCTGGGGGTGCTGTGTCCCACTCAGCTGAAAGGCTTCCACAATGTTATTTAAAGCTACAGCTAACACTACCCATATTAAGATCCATGTTCATCCCATTTAGAACAAAGTGACAGGACCTCTTCATAATCCAACACCTAAATTCACCATCGCTCTTAGCACAAAATACCCTGTGTAAGCTCCATGACAAAAGGTGTCAGAGCTTATTTCAAGACTGATGATGTCACCTCCTATGTCAAGTCACAGTTTAAAAAAAATGCACAAGCAGTTACCTTCAGTGGAAACCACATGTTAAAGCAATAAGAAGATGCAATAAGAAGATGCAAAGATACAGGCACCCGACATATTGTATATGCACATCCTAACCTTTACTGCAAAAACCTTGGGCTACCTTCTAAGCTTCCCTGTGTTTTTTTTATTGTGATGGGTGGCAGGAGGAGAGGAGGAACAGGGCCAAGCTCAGCAGAAAAATGTAATAGAGACCCCTTCAACTAAACTATCTTGATACCATTGTTTCAGAATTAACTGGCCAAGACATTTTTGGCTTTTCATTGAATTTTAAAATATTGGGTATGGAATAGTTTATTCAGTATATGTAACCGTCTCTATACTTATACAATAGAAACAACATAGCCATGCTATTAGTTTTATACTAACCCGCCAGGGTCTTCTGATACCCTTGAAGAAGTCAGGCATCCACATGGGAAGGACTACAGCTTCTCTTAATAGTTTCTTTGCTTCCTCGAGATCAGCAATATCTTCCCTATTGAATGAGGCAGACAAAAGAAAGATCTATAAAGTCTAAAATCTTAAGAAATACTTTGCTGGGCAATGCATATTTGTTTGTTCCGGAATCATTATTGGAAAAAAGAATAAGAATTTAGTGTCGGATCATCAGGGGTTCTTTAATGGAAGCAACATATTTAAAATGGCTGAAAATGACTTTAAAAGCCCTTTAACGTGTTCAAAATGATAGGATTTTAGCAGTTGGGTTTACATCTACTTTAATAGGCAAGTGTGTGAAAATGTATTAAGAACATCTGATAAGAACCACTGTGGCAAATAAATTGGGCTAATAATTTCATACATGCTATATACAAATATTGATAACATCCAAAAATATTAATATGGCCCACATAAAAATAAATTAAAGTGTATGTAAACAACTCTCATCTCAGCTTATAAATTAATGAGTAGCAAAAACCATAATACACACAAGGCCAGGGACACTTGAGGATGGGTAATAATAGTGGAATCCACTCACGGGAAGGCACACAGAAGCGCTGATTTTGCAGATACAAGTGTTCTCTGCTTTCCAGATTTCACCCCAGTGAGTTTCCTTGTTTCGTTGAGCATGCACAGAGAATTAAAATAAACCCTGTTTATAAATGGAATATATTTTCCCATTAAGCTTGGATTTAGATTTTGCACACTACATAGTAGCCCATGGCATTTATTAAAATGAGCTCCAGACACGGGACTTTGAAGCAGTATTTACCAGTCACTTGCGGGAGCTTTTTATTTATAATACCAAGATATTCGCCTATGAAAAAATAATCATCTCATTGCGAATACAACAGCCGGCCCAAATATGCAGCTTTATTGTAAATACATATTACATTTCAAGTTACTGCAGAATAAATTCCCAGGTAGGTGCAGGATTTACAGACTTAAATATAGCCGTGTTTTACTTAGGCGTAAATCACTTAAGCCAGTAACAATTTCTAAAAGTACATTTGTAGAGCGGGGATTTAACTGCACCGCTGCCTCTTGTTGCTTTACATATGGTCTTACTAGATTTATCCCCTTCGTTGTAGTTAGGAAAAATATTAAAAAGCAGGAAGCATACTTTTCTTATACCAACATAACACCCACAGGGAGAAGGTAAGCTTGGATCAGCCAGGATATTAAGGTAAGAAAACCATTGCCAGAGAGCGGGAGCTGCAAGGCCAGACAAACCTACTGAGCGTAACAAATGTTGGTAACTTTAAAGCAATATTTGTACTTGTTTACCAGCCTGAGATAGGACTATCCTACTCCTTTTTAGCAGTCAAGGTAGCACACAAATGCTGCCTCAATTCAAATATTGTTAAGTGTCTATCCAAAACTGACATTTTGGTTTTCAGTAGATATTGGAAAGAAAACACCAAATAGTATTCTGTACAGTGGTACCTCGGTTCATGAACTTAATTCACTTAAAGTCGTGAACCGAATTGGTCGCGAATGAAATTAAATTTCCCCATAAGGTTCAATGTAAACAAGGTTAATCCGTTCCGACCCCTACAAATGTGGTCGCGATCCGATTTTGGTTGCGAACAGATTCAAATTTTCCCATAGGGTTCAATATAAATGAGGTTAATCTGTTCTGAACCATATGAAAATTCATTACCACTCTGCACTTTCTTTTTACCACCATGCTTGCTCTGCACTTTCTTTGTAGCCATGCTGGATTGAATAATACTGTATGTGCTAAAAAGCACACAAAAAAGCATCACAGCAAGTGTGCACAGGTCTGTCTGCGACCGCAATCTCGACTAGAGGAAGCCACGACCACATGTCAGAGCAAGGAAGATGGCCGCGGTCATGTTCGTCACCCGATTTGGAGTTCGCAAACAGAAGCAACATTTTGCTGAACTTCCTGTTCGCGAACCAAAGCGTTCATTACTTTAAAACAGGGGTGAACAAATTCATATGGAACTCAGGAGCCAGTAGGATTCTTTTTTGTAGGAGCCAGCTTCATTGACAACTAGAGAAAATCCCAAAAGTTAAGTGCTAGCCAGTGGCGTCACAAGGGGGGTGCAGCCCGCACCCAGGTGACACCAAAAGTCGGGCACTCGGCTCACGAGAGCCCGACAGTGTCAGGAGAGTGGAGGGGACCCAGCGGCATACCTCATCCCGCCGGGTGAACATCCCCTCCTCTCTCTGCCGGTCGCCCAGCACCAAGATGGCCGCCGGCAGGCGTCAATCAGATTGCCACGCACGATGACGACACGCGGGGTGTCACCCGGTCTAGACAGTTATTTTTATGGATCATTGGCTACCTGGCTTCTGGGATTTGTTTAATCCTCCTTTAAAAGAAGATTTTTCTGTTACATACACTGGGGGAGGAGTGCAGGGATTCGGAATTCCAGGCTGACATCAATGTCAAGGCACTCGTATGGCAAATAACAATTTAGCCACAAATAGAAAAGGGCATTCAAACCTTTGACAACTGAAAGGTCATATCCTACATACATGATGTAAAGTGGACATTGCCAGAGCTTTCTAAACAAGTTCAACATAATGTTCTGGAGAAGCATCATTTAAGAGGTGTTATAAAAAAATATCCCTGACTCTGAAAATCCCCCAAACCAAAAATGATAAGCTACATTTGTGCTCACTTTTCCTCCCAACACTAACTGAATACAGTTAGCTTCTATGGTGGTAGCAAGCAGTGCATTTAATTAATTTACAATGCTTTTCTCAAGCTGGCTGGAGCGAGTACTGCCCATATGCTAGCCAGCCAAACAGACTTTCATGTGCTGTCTATCATCCATTTGTGAGCTTTGGGTAACAGGAGTAGCCACAACTTAAATCCATTATCAAAGAATAGAACAAATTTGGCACAACTGTTACTCTATCTAGAGAACGTTGTCTCCCATAACTGACTCAGTAAGATACTGTTTGCTAAAGCACTGCGCATCATAAACAAATGCTATTACAAAATATATATACACTATTTTCACCTTTTTTTTTTCCAATACTGCCAAAATGCTAGCCATTCATATGCGTAGATTTCTTTGGGTTGTCTGTTGATCATCCATTTGTGAGTTTTGGGAAAAGAGCCCTCATTTAAATCCATTATTAAAGAATAGAAAGAAACCGGCACAACTGTTAAAGCGGTCCTTTACCCCCTTTCACTAAAAAATCACATCAGTATGCTGATTTAAAATCATCTAACATTCATTAAACAAACTTGTTTTTCATTTACTTACAACTAGAGTTTATCTACTTCCGGGTCCAGTTCTGGATCACATGATGTAATGTGCCAAACCATTGCATCCTGGGATAATTACATCAGCAGTGCATTGCTGGCAAATCTCATCTGTAATCTCTCGAGATCTCAGGGAAAGAATTTTTCCTCCCCTGAGATGATGTGCATGGTGACATGTCCTAGTGACATGTGCCAGAAATCCAGGAAGTAAAAGGAGAGTTAGTAATCTGCCCTTAGTTAACATGGCCACTGTCAGAAGACTTGGGAAGAATAGAGAAATAAGGTCTGCAAAGAATACAGAGCCGGCAATTATCTAAAAGTATTTGTTGGCAGATTGTCATTAATAAACATTTCTAAAATGTGTGTTTGTTGTTATTTTAAAAATATATATGGGTAAAGGTCCTCTTTAATATCAAAAGACTTGTATGGGAATGCAGAACCCGCCTGAAGTGAACAAAAGCTTGCTGACATTGGCCCTTACGCTACCTAGAGAAGGCATTCTTTCATACTTCAGTGACTCGGTAAGGAAAGTATTATTAAGAGAAGCAACCTAGAGGACAGTGACCACTCACAGAAGGACCTACAGAGATCTACAGCGGAGACGAGGAGAAATGGTTCATGGGACAACTATGTTCTGAACACTCCGCAAAGGTGTTGAAAAGAAAGATGTTGCTAAAATAAAACAATAACAAATCCTGTTGAGTGTTTGCTGAAAGACATTTGAAATATGCGACAAAGATGGGGAAAAAAACTCTTTGGTCTGGCAGAGCAAAATGTAACTTGTTGGCCTTCTTCCTAAATGCTTTGGGTATAGCATGCCAATACAGTTCAGCAATCTGAGAACACTATTCCCATGGTGAAGCACAGTGGTGACAGCCCCATACTGCTCTTTTCATCTGGAAGGCTTAGGAACTCTTCAGGAAAGTACCACGGACTATGCACATACCAGTGAATGTTGGGATTCCTGGAAATAATGTCCCTTTCTAAAGCGTCAACCAGATCCTTGTCATATCCAGTACCATCAAACTTCTTCATTTCACCCTCTCCACCTGCGTCTTGCTGATTTTTCCGACTCTGCACAAATAAGAGTAACGCAAATATTTAGCATGATTCAGCTCAAGAAAAAAACAGTACAAAAATACATTTCACAGTATAAAATTAATAATAGGCGTGGTAAGTGAATTAATCTGCAAAGTATCAGATACAATTGATACTAGCCGTGAAACTGTGTGGTACTCTTAAAAACAAGATCACACAGGGACTCGTATACACACATACACAATCAAATACATACATGCGATAGGTTGAACTTGATGGACCTGTGTCTTTATTCAACCTCAATACTATGTAACTATGATACAATGTGAAAAGCATAACAATAAACAAAACGCATGTGTGTACCATACGCCTCAGTGCAAATAATATATTGCTACAAAATTTTCCATAAACATGAATCTTCAACAGTCCGTTATGAAATAGATATAGAAGTGGAGGAAAGGTAATCTCAGTCTCCTGGGACCATCACCAAAAAATCTTCTGGAATGCACCCACCAGGGTCTGTATGCGCTGTTCCTCTATTTCATAATGGACAGTTGAAGATTCAGGATTATGGACATTTTTGTAGCAATATATTATTTGCACTGAGGTATATGATACACACATGCGTTTTGTTTATTGTTATCCTTTTCACATGGTTTCACGGCTAGTATCAATTGTATCTTATACTTTGCAGATGAATTCACTTAGCGCAGCTTTTATTATCAATTTTATATTATATCTGATCACACAGATTTCAGCTGCTGCTTTACTTGATTGGAGTAGTGGCGCGAGGTTTCACATTATACATTTCAGAGTATAGTCGTACCATGCACAAGAGACCCTCTAATTATTCTTTTCTCACCAACATGAAGGAATAACCACATATTTGCTAATCCAGCAACATTACTTTGATCATTTGAAGCTTAAATGTATTTATTTTTAAGAATCATTGTTAACCTAATTGTGCCTGAGACATTCTCGCTAAAGGAACCCAAGAGAACAATTCTAAAGTAAAGCGGTTTTATCCAATTAAATAATCTTTACATGTACTGTATATTCCAAGAAAATTTAGCTTTTACCATATTATTTTCAAACAATTCAAAGTGGCAAACTATTACTTTGTCATGTATATGTTTTAAAGCAAATGAAATGTTGAGGAGATTCAAGATGAATTACACACAAGGAACCTATATGGAGCTTTGAAGACATCTACTCCATTGCACTATATGAGCAATTCTAAAGATATAATTTACACATGTACCAGCAATTCCAATTAATTGCTGGAGTATGAGAGAAAACGTCAAGCTCTGCATGGTATTTATGCCACCAAATGCCCAGGGAATTAACTTTTCTGGTTGAGATGCCCATCCATCAACCTGCAAGAAACTAAACATGTAAACACTAGAGAGGGTTGGGCTAGAGTGAAAATCTACAAGCACATACAGAAGGATGTTTATCTGTTACCATTTAGCGAGACTAAACTCAGGAGTTAAATATTAAAAATACATTCATATACCTGAACTATTAACAAAAATGTATCTTATTTGTGTATCACTCGGCTGAAGATCCTCAAATCATCTCTGAATTGGTTCTGACAGTGTCCTTCCTTCTGGAGGGGGGCTACTTTTGTTCCCCATGGTCCCTGTGTGTGTTGTAAAGTAGCCACCGCTCCAAACTCGCTCCTGTGATGGACAACAATCTCATGTTCAGTTTACTAGTTGATGTGGAGATTGTAGCCATAAAAGGTAATTATCATAAATTTGTCAAGTTTGTCTCAAATTGTCTCACTGCTCCTGTTTTTACCATTGTTTGGTTATGCAAATTTCCCCTATTTGCGCCACAGCCCATAGCCAGGAAATGAGGAGCAATTATTCCAATGGGAAATCAAACTGAACATAAAAATCTGACAAAACATCTATCCCCTCACTCCATCTAAAAATACAATGTTTTTGCTGGAGTAAGTTATTATAATGAGGATGAAGTTCAAGTGTACCTAATCACCAGAACAAAAATATTTTTACACCTTACCACTCCTTGTCATGGCTGCATTAGTTTTATTTCCCAGTAACGCACTTTCTGTTCTAGAGTGACACCAATCTCTCACTGTTCTATATCTATGGAGAAGCATATATATATAATTTATTTTTGCCCCTACATATAAAGAAAATCACATTTTGACCCACACTGCACCGTGTTTACTATGCTTTCCCCAAGCCAGCTGGGCACAATGCTATGGCAAACACAAGGCAAGTGTATAAACATCTGTGGGTTGCTAGAACATCAACTACTGGACTGATTGACGGCCATCCTGTAGAAGAGTAAACTGCTGCTGAGCACTAGTACTTCAGCAGATCCACTGGCAATATGGTGGTTGTCACCACAGAATCTTCTGATCTGAGGGGTGTATCTTTATTTACTGTAAATGTTAGGGAAGGCAAGGGGGCCTCTGCAAAAGTGTAGATTATAGTAGGAATTCAAATTTTACACAAAAAAAAAATGGTTTCTAGTCTAAAGGCAAGGGGCTTATGGGGCCATTGTAAAGCCGTGCCACATTTACACTCATGACAAGTCTGCTGCAGGGACTTGAATAGCCAAACACAAAAATAATCTAATCTCTATAAAATAATAAGTATAAGAAATATTGTTAGAATATTGAAAAGCTGGAGTTACATTGGATTCTTTGAGAATCTCACAGATGACATGTAATTATCAGAGAGGTTCAGTTCCATCTCCAGGTTTATAAGAAAAACACTATCTCTTATATCTCATTGACTTATCTCGCTTGTCTTCGGAATTTTAGAAAGCTGCAGTATTCTGTGTGGCACACTTTTTAAAAACTATTTCCTGCCTGCCATCTAGTGACCATTACAACAAATTCAGATTACACAGATACCCCTAAAGCTGGCTTACACTGTAATATTTTCTTTGTTCAAGCTGCAGGCTGAACAAAGAAAATATAAGATTCCTCCATCTACGCTGAGCGTTGACCGAGGAATCTTCCGCTGTCCTTCTGGCGGCCGGCAGAAGCTGCCAGAATACCAGAACAGAGTCCGCAGCTGATTGGCTACCATTCTGTTCATTCGAAGATCTTCCAACCGGCTCCTTCGATCAGCTGATTGAGGGATGCCGGCAGAAAGGGTGCCGACAGCAGCACCCATTGAGCGAATTTCAGCCAGTTCATCAAGAACCAGCTAAAATTCACATACTGAATGGTCAGCTTAAGACTATATCAGACTCCTCATCCGTGGCTTGCTCACACCAAGTCCAGTGAGCTGATTATTTTCTGTACCCCACCACACATGAAAAGCGTGAACAGGACATGTAGATAACAATTGTTTTCTATGTGCCCCGTTTATGCCATGCATGTGTGTTGCAACATGGCAGTTGTTTATAATACACAGTGGTTTAAAGCCCATCCACGGCCAAGTGCTTTCCTCTTTCAAGAAAGCCTCATTGTATCTTTAAACTTGCCATGCATTCAAAGCTGGAAAATCTTCATCCAGGTCCGATCGACATGACCGCTTGGGTATACCCAGCTCGAAAGGCCCCCGCTACTCCAGTTACACAGGAAAGTTTGTTGGGCTATGTAACAAAGACACAATCTGCAGAACTACCAAAGGGGCATTGAGGAGACCCGTCGGTCAACCAGTGAACAGCTAGCTGGCAGGTGTAACAAGACTACCTAACAGGAAATGCTGCCGTCACAGGTAGCAGGCAGCATTCCTAATTGAGGTAATGGCAAAAAGAGATGAGGGCCACTTAAAAAAAGTATGCGAACAATAAAATTGGGGCACATGCTTTAATAAAAAAAAAAAAAGCAGAAAAACAGCTTTAAAAAAGGGATTGTTATGCAGTTAGGGCTTAGCGCCACTTTAACAATGGTCCCTCTAGTCGAAGCTAAAAGAAAAAGTGGCGTTTTACTCTAACGTGTACCTCTAATCCAAGCAATATGACAGCACACACAAAAAGTTCTTGAAATGAGGGCAAAACGAGTACTAACTACTTGGTTTTCATTTCTAGAAGTTCTCAGTTAAATGGAAAAGATCCAAAATGCCACTGCAACAAAAAGCCAAAAAAGATTTGGCCTCTAGGGAGCAATCTGCACAGGAAAAACCCAACAGTTCCATGGTTTATAAATGACTCTCAGGATCTGCAGAATAACTGTGGCTACGCTATGCTTTAGTAACTAAAGTACACACAATCAGTGCTAATAGTGTGTCAGCTACACAATTCAAACTTTCCATTAAACACGTAATTAATGGAGAAGTTCACAGCCAGCTAAATCAAATGATCAAGCGACAGTGCCGTGCACAAGCTCAGCATTATTTCACTTCTTAACACTCATCTGTTTGCTGCAAACAACATCTGTATTTTTCTAAAGCAAAGCCTATGAGAGTAAATTAGGATCAATGAGTGAAAGGAACACAGCTGCCAAAGTAGTATCAAAGTCATATTCCATAAGATTTGGTACAGTCTCTCAACATGCATGCACTACATTAGGGCTTGTTCACACCAAATGCAGACCAGATCTGCATGAGTTTCTGCACACGCAGTGCAGTGTGTTGTACTGCGTTTATTTTTTAGTTTAAAATGGGCTTTCCAAACAAATAAAAACTATCTGAATTTAAAAAAAAAGATCTTTCAGTGCGTTCCAGGGCCTTTGCATGCGTTTTTGATGCGTTTGCATGCGTTCCAGAGCAGGTAAAATAGGGCTTGCTGCAGTTTTTTTTACATGCTCTGGAACTGAACGCTGTGGTGTGAACTAGAGCCCAAAATACCATTGGAATACATTGGACGCAGTTTTGATCCGGTCTGTAACTGCTCTGCTCCTGGAACGCCCTTGGTGTGAACTAGCCCTTACACTATCCATTTCTCTCCTGCAGGTTTGTGCACATCAATTCCATTCTAGAGGATGAATATTCTCCAAGCAAAGTCTTATGCTGACCATACACTCTGCATGCTAGTGTGCATTTGGCATGGAAGTCTAAGGGCTTGTTCACACCAAGCGCGGAGCAGATCCAGAGCAGAGCAGGTGC